TAGAAATTAAATTATTCTTTTAAAGGAAATAAGCATCTAGTGATATAAATTCTCATGGGAGAGAGTTTAGAAAAGAAGACTTTTATTATTTTAGCCCTAGTAAAATCATTCATTGTGATCAGAAGCTATAGCTGCCTATCACAAAGGTTACCCCTCCTCTTCTTCATCCTCTTCTTTCATATTTTCCTTATATGCAGTGGAGAAGAAATGGATCAATTTTTAGAAACATAGTGGTCTGTTCAAATATGAAGAAAACAATCTTAGTTTTCAAATGTTGCAATTCTAATTCACAGTTTTGTATATAATGCCAACAACATTTGGAAGGCCCCTGGGGTATAGGATTGCAGCCTAAATTTAAATGACCTCAGTGGTTTTAAGTAAATATGTCTGGGAACAAGCAGAAAAGTCTAACATTTTAACATTGGAATAAGTGTCTTGTTCAAACTATGATGCCATATGCAAAAAGGCCTTATTTTTTATAATTAAAGTATTTATGCTAACAGTTAATATATTTGACTGTCGTTGGTAGATTGGACTACAGTTTCCCAGCAGTTGGTAGATGTTAAAACACACACACACATTTGTCAACAAGCATAATGAATCACATTCACCACCAATGCATCATTTTTAATTTGCTTGGGATTGGGGGAAATTGCTATGTAGCCTTGAATGGTGATGTGTTAATGACGTCTGAATTGTGGTTACCAAAAATTAGTGGTTAAAAGATACAATGATCTCTTTGATATCACAAGCAGTAAGCCCTGCTGAACCTTAATTTCTGAGAAATAAATAAAAGAAATAGCTTTATTCTAAGATAAATGCTTTGTGACACCACAGACCAGTCTTGTTATTTTCCATGAGCTTAGCCTTCCTTTTCAATCTGTAATTAAGAACAATGAATATTTAATGTCCACATTATGCAACAGCAAACCATATGTTGTCTGTGAAATCAACAGTGTTAAAACTATACAATCTTTTGGCGAGTTTTGATTTTGCAATTGCAGATTCTTCATTTGAAGTTACATTACAGAATTCCAATGCTACCTGCTATTGGCTCCAACAAAATCCTAGGTTCTCTCAAGTTCCTTGTCGTCCTTTTCTTAATGAAAGGGAACTTCATCATAGAGTAAGCCTTGTGGAGTCATTCAAGGCCCTGCTGCCAATACCAAAATCTGTGGATGTTCAAATTCTGTTAAATACAGTGATGTAGTAAAATAGTGTCCCTTATATAAAGTGACAAAATCAAGGTTTACTTGGGGGGCGGGGGTGATTTTTCAAGCCATGGATGGTTGAATCTGTAGATACAGAATTCATGAATACAGAGAATGATTGTAATTGTTTTGTCAGTAGATTTGGAAAGGCCATTGGGAGGGAAATGGTACCATGAAGTTGTTCCTCTTAGAACCAGTGCCAAGGAAACTGATATGGAGAGCACCAGTCCATGAAAACTGTGGAAAATTGCTTCCTTAATATGGAGGACTTAGAGACTTCTTAAAATTATCTAAATCAGGAGTCCCTAAACAAAGGCCAGATGTGGCCCTCCATGGTCATTTATCTGGTCCCCATCCTAAACTTTAGACGTTAATGGCGTTAATGGCAGCTCAAGCTAAAGGACAGAGAAGGCCATCAACTGATCAACCTAACAAAGGCAATGGATCAGACAGATGAGATATGAGGCCAGTTTTCAGAGCTAAATTTAAAGAAATGATATAAGCATTGGCAAAGATGTCAACTTATCTGGCCCAAATAAATCAGAAATTAGAGATCAAGACCCCAAAATTGGAAAACACTACTGAAAGGTTCTCAAGACGGAGAGACTGATTTGGATATGATTATTCTCCTGGATATGAAAGAAAGAGAAAGAAAGGTGTATAAGAGTTTAGGATTTCAACTGGGAATAATTTTTTTCATCTGGTGTTTGGGTGGCTAGGCAAAGGAATGTTCCCTACTAAATAATAGAGAAACTGGATCAAAACTTAAAAGATATTTTCCTTTCCACTTGTAGTTATAGCCAAATCTAAGCATTTCAATTAGCTTGATTTGTGAACATAAAGAAATTGTACTGTTATCCTTAAATACTGGGAAACAATAGTGTTGACTGAAAGATAGATTTTAAATATTTAAAAATAGTGTACACTGATTTAAATAGAAGACACAGAGGAAACTGGCTCAATCTCCCAAGAAACTTGCATATTGGCATAATATTAAAATCTTTGTTGCCATCTAGTGGATACTCCTGCTGTATCAGGATGTTACTGAACTGCATGTTGATTTATAAGTGCTGTGTCTGTGAAATTCACCCACTTGTGAATAAAAATGTTAATAATGAATTGATATAAGTTTGGGTTGCCACACCCTTTCTATTTTCTTTTGTTTCAGCAAAACCGAAAGGCTTTGTGTAGGAAAAACTTGGCATTATACTAATTTTCCTTTGACCAGAAGCTGGCCACTTCTGGTCAAAGGAAAATTCTGGTATCGCTGTAAGAAGGAGTTCCATTGTGCATGTGTTCGGACCGCATTGTAGTAAATGGTCTGTGGTTTGGTCTTCTCCACACTCGCATGTCTTCGGCTCCACTTTGTAGCTCCATTTCTTAAGATTGGCTCTGCATTTCGTGGTACCAGAGCGCAGTCTGTTCATCACCTTCCAAGTCACCCAGTCCTGTCTGCCCAGGAGGGAGATTCTCATCTGGTATCAGCCACTGATTGAGGTTCCGGGTTTTAACCTACTAATTTTGGGCTCTGACTTGTTTAGGTGTTCCTGTGAGTATCTCTGTAGATCTTAGAAAGCTATTTCTTGATTTAAGATGTTGGCATGTTGGCAGATCCCTGAACAGAGGATGGGCTGGAGATGTCAGTGCTTTGATCCTTTCATTACGGCTACTTCCCGACAGATATTAGGTGGTGCAATACTGGCTAAACAGTATATTTTCTCCAATGGTGTCGGGTGCAGGCATCCTGTGGTAATGCGGCATGTCTCATTAAGAGCCACATCCACTGTTTTAATGTGGTGGGATCTATTCTACACTGGGCATGTGTATTCAGCAGCAGAGTAGCAAAGCACAAGGGCAGATGTCTTCACTGTATTTGGTGATTCCCCAGGTTTTGCCAATCAGCTTTTGTATAATATTATTAATAGCACCCACTTTTTGCTTGATATTCAAGCAGTGCTTATAAGTCAGAGCATGGTCCAGGGTAACTCCCAAGGTGTTTTGGTGCGATTCAATGCTTCAGAGGGATTCCTTCCCAGGTAATCCTCAGAGCTCGAGATGCTTGTCTGTTAAGATTAAAACAACACGTCTGCATTTTAGATGGATTAGGAGTCAGCTGGTTTTTCTGTAATAGGCACTAAGAGCACCTAAAGCTTCAGACAATTTCAAAGCTTGAGTGGTGATGGCAAGATCGTAAGCATAGTTGAAACTGTTCTTTTTGTCAGTGTCTGATCATTTTTGTAAATGTTAAACATTGATGGAGCATGCACGCTCTCCTGAGGCAGGCTGTTCTTCTGTTTTCGCCATCTGCATCTCTAATCCTGGAACTCAATAAAAAAGCTCCTGTTTTGTTACAAAGCAAGTGAGGTGGCAATCCTTTGTGATATTATAATTTTTTTCTCAAAAGAAGACCATTATTTACAGTACTATATGCTGCTGACAGGCCTATGAATCTGCTGCCTTTCAAAACCATCTTCTATGTGCGGAGTCAGGTTCAACACTTGTGATGTGCAGCTTTTCCCTTTCCTTAAGCAGTTTGCTGTGGAATCATAATGAGAACAACAACCTTTATTAACCTTTTACATCTACTGAATTGGAAATAACTCTCAATAAATGTAAAAATGGCAAAGCATCTGGCTTGGACAATCTACGGATGGAACAACTTAAGAACTTAGACCAAAAGCAAGGTGTTGGCTGCTGAATCTGATGAACAACTGCCACAGGGGCTCCAGTTTCAGGCCTAGGTCAACCCTAAATCTAAAGTTTTGAGTGAGGGCCAGGTAAATGCGCTTCGAGGGCCGCATCTGACTATCGGGTCTTAGTTTGAGGACCCCTGCTTTATTGATTCTGAGTATCTCTTCTTTAAAAGATATGTGGATCCAAGAGCATAGGACACAGACTTGCTGTGTGTCCCTTTTCTTGAGAAGAGACCAGCTTTAATAGAAATCGAAAAGGCTTGGGAATTCTTGATTGCCTTCATATTCTGCGAAGTTGTAATTTTTCTAGTTGTCTCAAGTAGTATGAGTGCAAGGGTTATTGTTCTGCAAAGAAAACTGCTACATGATAACTATGTTTTCTTAAGTAAATTGCTTTGGTTGATGGGAGATAGGCCTAAGTTCATCTGTCTTAGTGGGGTTACCATATATACTTATATATGTCCTCATGTATAACCGAGAGCAACTTTTGAAGCCAAAATGATTTTGATATGACTCATGACATGATATGAGTCATGTAGTGGATGGGGAAAGCACCAGTGCCACCTCAGACAATTCTTGCCACTGCTATTTCTCCACCCAGGTATTCAAAAAGACCAGGCACAGCACCATAGTGGAAAGTGTAGAGGAGGTCAGCACTTCTTTTAGGTTTTGTCAGTATGGACTAAGACCTCTTTTACACTGGCCATATATCCCAGGATATGTTTCCTGATTATCTGCTTATCCGAGATTATCTGGCAGTGAAGGCTCATATAATCTAGTTCAAAGTAGATAACCTGGAATATAGGACAGTATAGAAGGGGCCTAAGGTCTTGCCTTTCAGCACTTTTCTCAGAGAAGGAGATTGTTTCTTTTTTTTAAATAAAAGTACAGTGCTCACATTGACTCATGTCAATGTTAACTCATGTTTTTGGGGCTGATTTTTTTGCTAATATTTCTAGACTTATACAGGAGTGAATATATAGAATAGTTGGAATTGAGTGCTCTTCATAAATAATGTTAATACTGCTTTTCATGTCCAGTTGTGTTATTTTTGTTCATTAATCATTGTATTTACACATATTAACTTTTTTTATAGGTCAACAATATCGGAAAATTGAAAGATTTTCTTCTACAGCACAGGAAAGACTACATTAATGCCTACAGGTATGTGTTGTAATAGGAATAACAGAAAACCAGACACTTTGCTGGAAACGAAAATTAGACATATGGATCTGGAGCACTTGTCTGAAAGTAACTTTTCCAAGCTCTCCAAACTGAGTCTTTAAAAAAAAAATGCATCTTATGCCATATTTCGACCCCAGTTATTCAAAATAGTGAACATGTGTTCATGGGATAAGAATACTAACTTGGATAATAAACAAATGCTCTAGTTTGATTATTGCATAGTGTTTCCAAATTAGGTATATTGTGGCAGAATGAGATGATAGTTCTACTTTTAGGCCTCTGCCGTTGTACCTGAATCTCAGAAACCATAACACTTAAACTCTTGAGGAATGTCTTAAACTCATTTCAAGAAATTGGGGAACAACTGGTCCAACCCAAGCTCATACACATGCTACTGACTTGTCACCCTTTCCCCTGTATTTTGCATGCTCCCGGCCAGCGGGTCTTAACTTGTCTTTATCGCAAACTGTCTTTAAATATTTAAATACATCAAATACGAGGGTGAGTCAAAAAGTAATGCCTCCATTGCTCTAACTTTTCTTTTTTCCCCAGCTACTGGACTATCTATGCATGATATAGAATCATAGAATCAAAGAGTTGGAAGAGACCTCATGGGCCATCCAGTCCAACCCCCTGCCAAGAAGCAGGAATATTTCATTCAAAGCACCCCTGACAGATGGCCATCCAGCCTCTGTTTAAAAGCCTCCAAAGAAGGAGCCTCCACCACACTCTGGGGCAGAGAGTTCCACTGCTGAACAGCTCTCACAGTCAGGAAGTTCTTCCTCATGTTCAGATGGAATCTCCTTTCTTAAAGTTTGAAGCCATTGTTCCGTGTCCTAGTCTACAGGGAAGCAGAAAACAAGCTTGTTCCCTCATCCCTGTGACTTCCTCTCACATATTTATACATGGCTATCATGTCTCATCTCAGCCTTCTCTTCTTCAGCTAAACTTGCTCAGCTCTTTAAGCTGCTCTTCATAGGGCTTGTTCTCCAGACCCTGGATCATTTTAGTCGTCCTCCTGTGGACACATTCCAGTTTGTCAATATCTCTCTTGAGTTGTGGTGCCCAGAATTGGACACAATTTTCCAGGTGTGGTCTAACCAAAGCGGAATAGAGGGGTAGCATTACTTCCCTAGATCTAGACACTATGCTCCTATTGATGCAGGCCAAAATCCCATCGGCTTTTTTGCCTCCACATGACATTGTTGGCTCATGTTTAACTTGCTGTCCACGAGGACTCCAATATCTTTTTCACACGTACTGCTCTTGAGCCAGATATCCCCCATTCTGTATCTTTGCATTTCGTTTTTCCTGCCAAAGTGGAGTATCTTGTATTTGTCACTGTTGAACTTCATTTTGTTAGTTTTGGCCCATTTCTCTAATCTGTCAAGATCATTTTGAATCCTGCTCCTGTCCTCTGGAGTATTGGCTATCCCTCCCAATTTGGTGTCATCTGCACACTTGATGATCATGCTTTCAGTATGCTAGAGGTAACCTTACTCTACCAATATAGTATTTTCTTTTTCTGATTGACTTATTAGAGCCATGAATCTGAAGCTAAAAGAAAGGGTTGTCATTGAATTTCTGGCAAAAGAAGGTTGTGCACATACGAATATCCATAATTGCTTGAAGAATGTTTATGATTTGGCCCCTTCTGACTTTTACCTGTTTGCACCTCTGAAAGACAACCTACGTGGTTTCAGATTCAATTACTTGATTGATGTTAAAACAGCTTTAAAATAATGGATCACAAAGCAAAACCCTGAATTTTTCCAAAATGGTTTTCATGCCTGGGTTAAACAATGGTGCAAATGTGTACAAATGGATGGTGACTATGTTGAATTGTAGTTTTGTGTCGAGGACAGTTCAGGCTATGATCTGTAGCAACTTCTGCTGTTATAGGTTCATTCGTAACATTTTATGACACAGGAGGCAAAACCTTTTGACCCACCCTTGTATTTACTGAAAGTTGCTCATCAGAGGTCATCAAATTTGGAAAGGAGCAAAAATATTTTTATTAGAATGATTCCTAATAATTGATGAGAAGGCTGGTGCTGCAATTCAAATTCAAAATCTCACAAGAAGATGTAAGTACAGCTGCTCAAAGAGTTCAGAGGTAATACCGCCATCTTTCATGGAATTATCTCCCCCCCCCCCTTTGAACAAGGCACATGCAGAAATTCCTTTTTGCCACCAAGTGGCAGTGTTCATCTGCTAGAAATTAATTATATTCCTTCTTTGTGGTCTCTATGAATCACACAGCTGGTTCATAAGAACTAGTTGTGTTAGTTTTTATTAGTTTTATCTGGTGGAAGAAAACAAAATTATTAGATACCAATTGGCTTTCGGCTAGGGAATATTGTATTGAAATCTCCACTCAGCCGTGAAACCCATATGTTGCATTGTGTGATCAATGTTTAATAATACTAAACATCAATTTAAAATTAAATGTTAGCTGGTTCTCATTTTGTACTTTCCTATCGGTAGGTGTTGTAAATATATATCTACAAAAATGGTTGAGTTTGGAACTGGATGAAGGACCTCATAAGGGACAGAGACTGGAAAGTTATTCTTGCTTTTGGTTGTAAAAGAATGTTCTAGAATTGAGGAAAGAAGCAAATTTCATTACTACATATGAACTAAGACTATCTAAGAATGAAATCTCCTGCATAGATTTTTTTAAAAAAATAAAATTAACATGTTGTTTTCCTCCAGCCATGCTATGTCTGAATTTGTGCGAATGACTGACAATGAGCGAGATCAAATCGACCAAGATGCCCAAACATTTATGAGAACGTGTGCAGATGCAATTCAGCAACTTAGAACAGAAGGTAGACAGATTTAAATAATACACAATTTCAGCAACTTACTTAAGGAGGTCTCAGAAGAATAATGTTTTGTATTTGTTTCTTTTTAGCTCACAAGGATATTCATTCCCCACAAGTGAAGCAACACAGAGAAGCTGTCTTGGATTTCATTGGAGACTATTTAAAAAGTATTCTGTTTTATTTTTCTTTCAATCATAGTCTTTGTGTTTGTAGTGTCTTCCCAGAACTATTTCTGACTTAAATCTCAAAATATGCTACTATTGTCACCATTGTGATGGAACTTTTAAAAGTGTTTCTATGTTTTGTATATTGAATCAACTGAGTTTCAGGACTTCAATTTACAAGATTCTATTACAATTCAACCTAATATCATGCCTTAAGTTTAATTGTAACAAAAAAGGCCTCTCTCCCCTCTTAACGTCTCACTAAAGCAAAACAGAATATGAAGGAAGTGGTGATAACATATAATACAACTTAAAATTGAAAAGCTACATAGTAGCTTTAAATTGACTATAGAAGGAAAATTAAGAATTGTCTAGATTCAGGCAACTTGTTGAACCAACCTATCTTTAGCAAACCACTGAAAAAAATGGAGTCCATATTATTGGAAAACTCCACATTATAGAAATTTGGATCAAATAAAGACCCTCAAAATTCAAATGTAATAATATTTGGTTAATATACCATCTATACTCGAGTATAAGCCGACTTGAATATAAGCTGATGCACCTAATTTTTCCTCAAAACACTGAAAAAAATGTATAAGCTGACGATGGGAAATGCAGCAGCTACGGATAAATTTCAAAATAAAAATAAATACCCATAAAATTGCATTAATTGAGGCATTAGTAGGTTAAATGTTTTTGAATATTTATATAAAACTGTAATTTAAGATAAGGCTGTCCAACTCTGATTAAACCATTATTCTAACCTTCTTCAGTGTAAATGTGCTTATGTATCCTTCCAATAATAATAAAGAGAGTAAAGTAAGAAATGTAATAATAATAATAATAATAATAATAATAATAATAATAATAATAATAATAGAGTAAGCTAATGGAAATATAATAACAGTAATAATAGAGTGAAATAATGAATGTAATAAAACAATACTAACAACAACAACAAAGTAAAATAATAATAACCTTGACACAAGTATAAGCCGAAGGGGGCCTTTTCGGCATAAAAAAGAACTGAAAAACTTGGCTTATACTCGAATATATATGGTATATTAGCTATTCTGCTTTCTGTATATGCCACAAAGTTTACTATTGACATACAGCTAGTAGCAGCAGAGTATTCAATATCCCATAATGTAATTATAAGTATTTATAAATCTTAAAATATTATTCTTCTGCCATCTATATCAAAATATCTCAGGCTAGCATACAAATAAAATCTGGACAAATAGATTTAAACATTGTCAAACTATGCAAATAATTTTAATAGACTAAAACATATTAAACACATCAACATGTTAAAATAAGTTTAAAAGATTAAAATAGTTTTAAACCATGTACATAGCACTGGAAGTAAATCAGTAAGGCTTTAATAAGTAGTTATATATTACTTGATGCCTTAGGCCCCATCTACACTGCTTTATAGTACAAGTTAACTGGATTATATGCCAGTATAGACTCATATAATTAATGCAGTTCAATCTGCATTATATGGCAGCGTTGATGGGGCCTAAACAAAACAAGGATTAACACCAATCAGACCTCAGTAGACAAATATTTGGATTGTTGCCAGAAATAGATCAACAGTCATGGAGCTGTGGCAGAACAAGAGAGATTTCTTATTATCATTTGTAACAGTAATTAAAGATTGATCTTCCATGTCCATAAGCAGTGTATCTGCAGTTGTCAGTTGCTATAACAACAGACATGGGTTTTCTCAAGCTTGTGAGCCAAAAAGCTGAACAGTCCAGCAAAATAGCTTTTATCTTCATGTGTACTGTTTTCTGTCTTGCTTACAAGACTTTTTCACATTTAACAGGAGTGTGTAAGCTGTATTCAGAACAAAGAGCTATTCGAGTTAAGCGAGTTGTTGATAAGAAAAGATTGTAAGTAATACCCCTTATAAATTAAAGACTTTGATATTGTATTTGATGGTCTAATCAAATGTCTATCCACACTAGTGATCTCTCTTCCATTTTTGAAATTATGTAAACGTATGCCATCTTTAGACCATCTGTCTAAACTATGACAGAGATTGTAAACATTTTTGTTTTGCTTTTCTTATGTAAATAGGTTACAACAGGCTTGTTTTTTCCTGTTTTATTCTCCATTTTGGCAGATAAAGGCTGCAATCTTACTTAGCCTCCAGGATGCAAACCATGTTGAATACAGTGAGATTTACTGCTAGGTGCTTGATCTTACACTGTTAATTCAGCATTAGCATCAGACAATAATGGAGAAAATAATGCCCTTGAGCACACCTGCCTACGGTGCAATAGTCAAACCCAAGAGCATATGAAGAAAGAGAAAACTTGTAGATCTATAGCATGGTTCCCAACTTGTTATCTGTGTACCACCAGTGGTCTGCAAGAACCAAAATATACAAGGCCTCACTATTACTACACTGTTGTCTTGAAACCATGCAGCAAGGAGAGTGACTGGTCTCGCAAAATCCTCATACAGTGCTGAGGCAACAGGGATGTCAGGAGGGGAGAGGCTGACTAACCATGAAAGATTACTACTACCACATCAGCTCTAGGTTATTAAATATGGTTCTCTGTGGGCGAGCAGATGGTGACTACTGGATGGTGTATGTTCTATATCAGAAATTAGAGCTGACGTGGTATATCCAGTGCATTTTTTGAATCAGCACCCCAAATAACCAAGCCAAATCTAAAGTTGACCAAAAACTGATTTGTAACCCTTTTAGTGCTAATGTTGGAGAGTGGCCCCTGGTCAAAAAAAGGTTGAGAACCACTGATCTGTAGCCTCAGTTCTTAGGATTCCACGGTTTTAATCTTGCAGACTAAAAATAATAATAAAGTTTTGCATATGCCCTTCTCTTTAGACTTAATCCAGCCTAATTATTCTTAAAGCCTGGTCTCAAAATGCATTACTGTGCTACTCATTGTGATACAGAGGAGGGCAGAAGCAGTTAACCAAACAATCTTAATTTTTTTTGTGTTACTACTTAGTCTTAGCATTTTTCTGAAATAAACACCCTTTTGTTTGGAGTGCTGCTTGGCTGTTTTTACAATACATCTAATGTCCTGTATATTCCTGTCTTTCTCACACTCAAACTCCAATAAAACACTATTAATAAAGAAATTAGGGGGGTTATGGGTTGTATGGCTGTGTTCTAGCAGCATTTTTTCCTGACGTTTCATTTGCATCTGCGATCAGCATCTTCAGCCTCTTCAGAGGATCAAGCAACAGATGTGGGCGAAACATCCGGAGAAAATGCTGCTAGAATACGGCCATACAGCCCAGAAAACATACAACACCCCAGTGATTCTGGCTGTGAAAGCCATCGACAATACAACAAAGAAAATATTTTAATAGTTGATGAATTTCCAAGCATTCATAATCTATTAAAATATAGAACTGCCCTTTTAATAAAATTACAAGATGCTCTATATAAATGCTGAGAAAGTTCAAGATGGCAGCATAGTATTATCAATTATATCTGGTTACAGAAAGTAATGTATTCATCACAGCCACAAAAAGAAAAAGTGTGAGTACATTAACATTGCCTTGCAATATGATATGACATGTGCATAGTATGTAAACATGATCAGAAAGTGTTGTAAGCAAGGCTGTGGATATCAGTTCAGTGTAGCAACAAGTGATTATCAATACTTTGTATATTTTCTTCCCTTAGATCCAGGCTTGAGCCTGAACAGAGCAATAAATCCAAAACGAGTTCCTCCGAAACAACTGTCCAAACATCTTCAGATGAAATGGAGGAAAAATCCATTAGCGAAATCAGCAAAGGTGACATTTCTGTTCACACTATCACCAAGTTCGAAGTTTTGGGTGTTTGTATGCATGTAAGCTTCGTGTTATATCAAGAACCACAAGCTCCAGGGTATTTGGTTTTTGGCAGGAAGGAGGGATACCTGGTGGGAAGAGCAGAGCTAAGCTCTATAATAGTGAGAGCAACTGCTGCTGCTGCTTTGGGTAGTGTTTTAGACCCCTAGTAGGTATCTAATGCACTCACACTCACAGTTTTTTTTTAGCCAATTATGCCATATACTTACTAGACTACAGATCAAAGGAACAAATAATACTTGTTTTCTATTTTATTTGGTCCTAAAATATATAACATACTAGAATAAACAGAATCAAAGAGTTGGAAGAGACCTCATGGGCCATCCAGTCCAACCCCCTGCCAAGAAGCAGGAATATTGCATTCAAAGCACCCCTGACAGATGGCCATCCAGCCTCTGTTTAAAAGCTTCCAAAGAAGGAGCCTCCACCACACTCCGGGGCAGAGAGTTCCACTGCTGAACGGCTCTCACAGTCAGGAGTGAGAAACTCCCCTAGAAACTCCAAGAAGTACATATTAAGTACATATTAAGATCTATTTATACATTTGTGTGTTATATTTCTTAGATTTGCATTGTTATTTAGGACATATAAGTTGTTAAAATGCCATTTAAAAGCTTTACATTAAAGAGAGTGAACAATCAAGAAGGCAGAGTGCTGGAGAGGCAGGAAACAGATATAATCAGTGTTGCAGCAGGCTGACTGATTTAAATTAAGGAAACTTAAATAATTAAGGCTTTTCCTGATGCTTTCTACAACAAAAACAATAATCTGGGCCTATCCAAACTTCCTAATACTTCTTTTTCCCACTTTCTTTTGCAACTCAACATACATACAGTTGGCCTTCAACTTTAATGGGTTTTATTTCCATGCATTTGATTACATGTGCATTTGTAGCCTCTGCAATCGATCTCCAAGCCTTCACCCACTGCATGATGACACTACTGACTAAATCTTCTTCAGTGTCGTCCTCCATCTCTCAAGGAGAAGAAAGGGAAGAATGCTAACACTAATGGAGATATTTGCAGCAGCTGTGACAGCTTGCCCTCCTCTTTTCCATCTCCTTTCACACCAACACTAACCCACAGTGTGCATGAGCTACAACTGAAGTGGTTTCTGTCTGCTATTTGCCTGCCAGTTCTGAGTATCCACTCACTATCTCTCTTGCATGCTGATGTGCTGTGTTAGCCATTCTTAGCGCATGTGCCATTCAGGGATCTCCTCCATCCCACACCACTCACTGGGTGCATCAGCCCCCTGCTGTCTCCGCCCTCTCAACATCCAGTGATATGATAAGGCAAGGACAGCTAAAGAGGAGTGGGAGGAAAGAGGGAGAAATGGTGAAAAGTAACTTCTTGTCACCCCTTCAGTCAAAGAAGTGAAAGCTGTGTGGTTGTCTCTCCACCTCCATCCCTTTTACCCACTGCGAACATCATCACATTGCTGTGAAAAATAAAAAAGCTACTAAATCCATCTCCTCCATGCCTCCCTCACTTCACTAAAGAGTAGGGGATGAGGAGGCATTCCCAGAAGCAAAAGCAGCAGCAACAAGCAGGCAAAGGTTCCGTCCTGGGCCTGGTCCTGTTCAGGATCTTCATTCATGACTCTTAGATGAAGGGCTAGAAGGCATGACAGTCAAGTTTGCAGATGACACCAAATTGGGAAGGATAGCCAATACTCCAAAGACAGGAGCAGAATTCAAAACGATCTTAACAGATTAGAGAGATGGGCCAAAACTAACAAAATGAAGTTCAACAGTGACAAATGCAAGATACTCCACTTAGGCAGAAAAAATGAAATGCAAAGATACAGAATGGGGGACGCCTGGCTCGAGAGCAGTACGTGTGAAAAAGAACTTGGAGTCCTCGTGGACAACAAGTTAAACATGAGCCAACAATGTGATGTGGCGGCAAAAAAAGCCAATGGGATTTTGGCCTGCATCAATAGGAGCATAGTGTCTAGATCTAGGGAAGTAATGCTACCCCTCTATTCTGCTTTGGTTAGACCACACCTGGAATACTGTGTTCAATTCTTGTCACCACAATTCAAGAGAGATATTGACAAGCTGGAATGTGTCCAGAGGAGGGTGACTAAAATGATCAAGGGTCTGGAGAACAAGCCCTATGAGGAGCAGCTTAAGGAGCTGGGCATGGTTAGCCTGAAGAAAAGGCTGAGAGGAGATATGATAGCCATGTATAAATATGTGAAAGGAAGCCACAGGGAGGAGGGAGCAAGCTTGTTTTCTGCTTCCCTGGAGACTAGGACGCGAAACAATGGCTTCAAACTACAAGAGAGGAGATTCCATCTGAACATGAGGAAGAACTTCCTGACTGTGAGAGCCGTTCAGCAGTGGAACTCTCTGCCCCGGAGTGTGGTGGAGGCTCCTTCTTTGGAAGCTTTTAAACAGAGGCTGGATAGCCATCTGTCAGGGGTGATTTGAATGCAATATTCCTGCTTCTTGGCAGGGGGTTGGACTGGATGGCCCATGAGGTCTCTTCCAACTCTTTGATTCTATGATTCTAAGGGGTCACATTTTTTTTCCTTCTGCTGGACAAGAAAAAGCTGCCGGAATGAGGGGGTAATCCAGCATGGTGGTATCTCCCTCTTCTCCAGGCATCCTCAAATTGTGGCCCTCCAGCTCTTTGCATCTCCAACTTGCAGAAATCCTATCCAGCTTGCTGAGTGGTCAGGAATAATGAGAGTTGAGGATCCAAACAGCTGGAGGACCACAATTTGAGGATGCCTGCTAACCAGTCCTTTTACTTACTGGAGACATCCTTACTTCACTGTGGAAAATAAAATGGTTCCAACTTCCTCTCTCCCACACTTGGCCAGCAGAAGGAGCAGCAAGAAGCAACTCTCACCTTTTACTTTGGTTCCTCTCTTATTTTATCTGCCTGTGGCTTCACATCGATGTTGAGTCCTGAGGGGGTAGAGGCAGCAGGGGGCTAATGTTCCGAAGCTGTGTCTGGGCCGAGGTCACAGCTGAGATGTCAGCAAAATGCTTACATTCAAGGTGAAAGAAATCAAAAAGGTGGAGTTAAAGCTTTTAGCCTGGCAACAAAGGCACCAGAGACTGTCTGAGAGCAAAGTGGAGATTTTTGCCATAGGAGTCTGTAGCAAAATTCCTATTTGGCTCAAAATATCTGTGTTTCTTCCCACTTTTGCAAGGATCCTCCACCCTAATGCCTGCGAAAACTGAGACCGAACTCTACCTGCAGCTGAGATTAATTCTAAATGTATTGTCTGCTCATACCCATAAACACATCAGGATAGCCAAAACCAGCTTGTGTCAAACAAAAGAAGTAATCTCTCAAAACACCCACGCAGAGTCTGCTTTTTTCATCTATCCATACTTGCTAGATTCCCTCTGAGAAACTTTATGCTTAAACGGAGGGTGCAAACTGCTGTGGTTATTTGTAAGGTGAGGAGCTAAACTTGTGTCCCCACCTCTCGGAAACGAAAATAATCACATTATTCATTTATTTGCTGCCTCCCATTAAAGTGAATGAGGATTCTTAATTAATACAAGAAAAAGTAAATAACTCTTGCTTGCCATGTTGGGGCAGAGAATACATTTCCTTGTTCCTCCTCTGAAGCATCTTCTGCATCATGTGAGCCCTCTCTTGGAAAGAGCCTACATAAAAGAATAAGTGAGTCCTCTTGAAATCACTGACAACAGAACTGCTTCATTTCTGCAACACAGAACCTGTTTCTACCAACGTTAATGCACTCACTAAAACATTTCATGCTTCAAAATGTTTCTTCTGTATTTCATGCAGAATAAGCGGTGCTATAGCAACAGAAACTGTGTTGGTGCTGAGGGAAACCACTGCTGTGAGCTTGCCTCGCCTCTTCCTCATTTGATATTTCTCTTGGTTACATTTGCTTAGCAATGAGAGACCTGAATTTAAGTGCCACATGTTATTAGCACTGGTAGGCTTTCAAAATAATTGGTTCCTACGGGATAATAAAAGTGCTATTTACAATTCCTTTATTATACTTTAAGTTGGCTCTTTTCCTATTTCCTGAATACTGTAAATAACCATAGATGAACTTTCAAAAATTAAAACTGCATTAGTTTTCTGCATAAAGCAGTGTTATAGCTAAAGCAAAGTTGGATACATCCTACAGTTTAACCAAAATGATCTGATCGTTCTGCAATATACTTTTAGGATTCCATTGGAATGCAGCTTCCCATAGTTTATCATGTACAGCTTTGGTTTGCAAAATTTTTACAGCCTTTTCATTCAAGTGAAAGATAGTGATAAGCACAGGTTATACTCATAGCATTGGTCCATTCCATACTGGGGAGTACTATTAATGTGCTCACTGGTACCACTTTCCCTTCCCATATTGGGTACAGCATTGAGCATCCAAAAATTAGCTTTCCGTTTATTAAAATTTGTGATCTTTATGATTGATGACATGTGGCAGAGAAGAATAAGTCCTGAAATACCAAAAGACAGAGCGGTAGTATTATTTTGTGTCAGAAGCATTGCATACATAAGTATAAAAGTGATAAAAATAAAAGGAGCACAAGAGGCAAAATATTTTTTTTACCAAAACCGGGCAACAATGACCTTGTTCTCTGTAGCTTTAAATCACTCTTCCTCTGTATATGAGGCAGGGCATTGTGGACAAGCATACTGGAGCAGAATTGTTTGTTTTGTTCCACAGTTGCACAAGGTGGAGGGTTCTTCTAGGTAGTGCCATTTTGCCCAGGTTGTCTTTTGATCTGCCCACCCCACTTCTGAATCTGTTCAGGGACTTCCAAGTTGATCATTCTTGGTTTCCCCCTGGAGGAAGACCTTGGGGTGGCCATCCAATTGGGATTTCCTGGTTTAGCTGCCCAGAGGGATGCTCTTGCTGTTGCTGGAGGAACATTAAGAGGAGTGGGGGTTCTCATGAAACTTTTCCTTGATTTGAGTTTACTGGGAAGAGGCTGATAGCTGTGCAGTGGATGGTTTTCACAGTGTTCAACCTTATTTCTCTCACAGTTAGCAGCAACGTCCCGTCACACATCAATGGAGGCAATTCCAGCTAGCTTGTAGAGTCTATCAACAGGTGTAGGTTTGAGAGTGGTCGTGAAAACTAGATATGGATCTTCAGCATCTATTTCCATACTGCACAAACTTGAGTGTGACATACTTCCCCTTTATTTACTTGTCTTTTCCAAAGGCTAGGAAATCTTAACTATTTAAGCTTTTCTTGGTATCCATTAAGAAGTATAAATGTGATATAAAGAATTAAAGTATCGTCTTTAACTTGAGACAAATATATTTACAGGGAATTTTATTAAATGGTTACAGCTTTAATGACCCAACCCCGTGCCTCCCCTGACCTTTTCCCCCTTTTACAGATAAAAACGTGATAGATGAACATACTAATTTTGGACTTTGGGGTGATAGCAAAGGAGAAGATGAGCTTTCACCTGAAGAAATTCAAATGGTAACTTTAATTTAAATTAGTTAACTTGTTCACTAGCTAACCAGATCTCTAGCTATTGAATATATACTGGTAATAGACACAATGTACACAGTGAATTCCACGGCTTTTCTATCAAGAGTTTCCTGCGCATGACACTTCTAATTGCTTTCCCATTTCTTTCTAATTGAGCAATGCTAAATAAGTACAGTTTACTTTTTAAAAAATAAATAAAACAGTACAGTTGCAGAAAATTAGAATGCTTGTAGCTGCCTTGGCATTTGTTTTTGTTTTTTTCCTGTTAAATGGAATTAGATTTCAGTAGGTGTTATATCTAGTTCAACCAAAAGTGATTCCTTTTAAACAACATTTAATTCAGTGGTTCCTAACCTGTGGTCCATGGACTACCAGTGGTCCACAAGAAAAACAATATGGTCTTCAGCCTCACCATTACTACACCATTGCCTCGAAACTATGTGGCAACTAAAGTGACTGGTCTTGCAAAACCTTCCTATAGTGCTGAGGCAACGGGGATGTCGGGAGGGGAGAGGATGACTACTCACAAATATTACTATTACCACATTAGCTCTAGATTGTTAAATACGGTTTTCTGTGGGTCAGCAGATAGCAACTACTGGATGGCATATATATACTGTGTCAGAAACTAGAGCTGATGTGGTCCATCCAATGCAGTTTTCTGAGTCAGCACCCCAAATAACCAAACCAAATATAAAATTGACCAAAACTGATTCATAACCCCTTTTTGGTACTAATAAATAATAATAATAATAATAATAATAATAATAATAATAATAATAATAACTTTCTTTGTACCCCGCTACCATCTCCCCAAGGGACTAGGTGCGGCTTACATGAGGCCAAGCCCACAGCACAGCAATAAACAAAGGCGATAACAAATAGTCGATACAAAACAGTTAAAATAAACTCAAACTAATGTTAGAGAGTGCTCCCTGGTCAAAAAAAAAAAAAAAGGTTGGGAACCACTGATTTAATTGTAAGCCAGCGGTTGCATTTCTGCTACATGTGATGCAGGCTTGCTTCCCTTTTTATTGAGCATAAAGATATTTCTCAGATAGATACATACTAAAAAAAATAATCACTCAAACTTAAAAAGTATTTGCTATTTTGTTTCATCGCATGTATGAAATCTTTCATGCCAAATCAAACATAGATGTTATCGTGTCAATACAATAGTTAATGCTGTTTTTCTGCTAAAGTGTAGATCAGGTTGTAGCAGTCTGGGTTCAAATTAAAGTGTAGATCAGGTTGCAGCAGTCTGGGTTCACCCATTAAACCCAGTTGATGTCTCAGCCCCAAACCTGTCTCACAAGGGGAAAACTTGAAAGGCAGAATAACATGTAAATGGTATAATGTGATGAAATGTAAACCAATGCAGAAGCATTAACAATGCTGCGTCTAGCACCTTTCGTACCTTTTGCTACAAGGGGGATGTTTACGATCTTGAAAACTTAGACTGTTTTTATTTCTGTTTCCAGTTTGAGCAGGAAAACCAGCGTCTTGTTGGTGAAATGAACAGCCTGTTTGATGAAGTGAGGTATATTTTTTCCTGTGTGTTCCTCCTTTGTATGCAACTACTGGATGACATATATATACTGGATGGCATATATATAAAGTGTGTTCCTCCATGTTATGAACCTCAAAACACCATATCAATTGCTGTCCAATCCATTGTCTTCATGTAGAAGAACAATCTCCATTTCTTTTTTAATTGACCATGAATATACCATTAGGTGTAGCATTTTATAGTGGAGAGCCATTGAGTGCTCTTTACATGTCTTGCTGTTATGCATATCTGGTAATCCTGTCACTGAGTTTTCTTGGCAAGATGTGTTCAGAGCTTTCCTCTGGAGCTAGGAGTGTGTGATTTGCCTGTGGTCACCCATTGGGTTTCCATGACTGGACAGGGATTTGAACCCTGGCATCTCTGTACTTAACCACCTCACGCCAGTCCAGGTTAAATCAGCAAAGCAGTTTATTGAAGATTATATAAAAAGCAAACAGCAAAAATAGAAAAATCTTCAATATCCAAAGGTATAAATAATCTATAAGGTTCCAGGTGCAAGAGTTAATAGTCCAACGCTCAAACTACTACACCAGCTTGTAAGTGCCAATTTATACTGAATCAATTAAATTGGTTCAGTCAACTATATACATTTCTTTCTCCTGTACTTTCCTTCTCTCCCCCAATCTTCCATTTTCAACGTCACAGAAAAATTCATTTATTGTTGACCTACTGAATTAAAGTATGTTTAGCTCATCTGCCTTTCTTGATTTGTACATCTTGTACAGTCTCTAAAAATGTATTGTATGATATAAACTTTAGTCTATACCATGCTTCTTAAACTGGGTCCCGACCCCAAATGGGGACCTTTTACTTCAATGTTGGGGTCATGAAAAAATTGGCAACAGTAAGAGTTTTCTGAATTTACACAAATCTGCTTGCAACAACATGTAGTGTTTACAGTGGACTTTGCAGAAAATGATTCAGCTATAACCACAAAAAGGAAAATCGGACTTGCAAATGCGGATTTATTTTCTGTAAATGTTTGATTTTTTTACCTATTTTGTATGCCTCTATACCTGGAGTCAAGAAAAAATTCCTCGGCTAGAAAAGGTGTTTTAAGTGGGAAAAGTTTTAGAAGCCCTGATCTATACAATGATGAATTATTGTCCTTGCAAAGTGTGGATTTTTTTCTTTTTTAGACAAATTGAAGGAAAAGTCGTTGAAATATCTAGGCTTCAGGAGATATTCACAGAAAAAGTCCTACAGCAGGTAAAAACAACAAGTTTAATGTTATTCCCTTTCCACTATGAATATATATAATCATAGTACCATTAAAAACAAAGTGGGAATTTTGGTGAATGTTGTCAGACTACACTTGTCAGCATTGACTGGTAGACATTTTGGTCCAACAACATAAGGGAAGTAATAGTTTTCTCACACTGATCTAAATGATAGAGTCCAAAGAAACAGATACATGAGGGTTAGGAGACATAAAGTATCTGTTACATGGAGATTGAGGCTTGACAACAGCCTGCAGAACTTGTATAATTCAAATGAACTGTTGCACGTCAGGCCAAGAAACACCTCTGTACTTAACCACCTCACGCCAGTCCAGGTTAAATCAGCAAAGCAGTTTATTGAAGATTACATAAAAAGCAAACAGCAAAAATAGAAAAATCTTCAATATCCAAAGGTATAAATAATCTATAAGGTTCCAGGTGCAAGAATAATCAAGAGTCCCAAGGCAGCAAGGCATCCAAAACAAGAATACAAGAAAACCCAAGAAACATAGAATCTAATACAGAAAGACAGGAACAATCCCTTGTACTTGAAAACAAGAACATGAACAAAGGCATTAAACTAGAAGTCTCTAAGCAAGTATGGCTTGACAAGAGCTGCTGTCTCTATTGTCAGTGTTGACCAGACTGCTGGGCAATACTCTCAGCCACTCTAATATACTCAAAAAATCACGTATTTTCATATGAGATTCTGATATAGGCCTATTTTCTAATAAGCACCGTGACCTTCATATTCTTTCTTGATCAGTCCTAAGTCTACTAAAACTAGGTCTCCTATCAACAACTCATTCACCTTATCTTGAAGCTCATTATTCTCGGCACCTGAAGTTTCAGCCTCTGAACTCCTTTCCCTAGAGATCAGCTCCACTGCAACCTCTGGAATGTGGTCATGACTAGTTGGAGACACAGACTGCTCAGTTTCAGGACTTAAAACCTCAGGCCCAGAATCCCCTTAACAGTAATATCAGACACCACCAATTACAACATGAATCATAGAATCATAGAATCAAAGAGTTGGAAGAGACCTCCTGGGCCATCCAGTCCAACCCCCTGCCAAGAAGCAGGAATATTGCATTCAAATCACCCCTGACAGATGGCCATCCAGCCTCTGTTTAAAAGCTTCCAAAGAAGGAGCCTCCACCACACTCCGGGGCAGAGAGTTCCACTGCTGAACGGCTCTCACAGTCAGGAAGTTCTTCCTAATGTTCAGAAGGAATCTCCTCTCTTGTAGTTTGAAGCCATTGTTCCGCGTCCTAGTCTCCAAGGAAGCAGAAAACAAGCTTGCTCCCTCCTCCCTGTGGCTTCCTCTCACATATTTATACATGGCTATCATACTTCCTCTCAGCCTTCCCTTCTTCAGGCTAAACATGCCCAGCTCCTTAAGCCGCTCCTCATAGGGCTTGTTCTCCAGACCCTTGATCATTTTAGTCGCCCTCCTCTGGACACATTCCAGCTTGTCAATATCTCTCTTGAATTGTGGTGCCCAGAATTGGACACAATATTCCAGGTGTGGTCTAACCAAAGCAGAATAGAGGGGTAGCATTACTTCCTTAGATCTAGACACTATGCTCCTACTGATGCAGGCCAAAATCCCATTGGCTTTTTTTGCCGCCACATCACATTGTTGGCTCATGTTTAACTTGTTGTCCACGAGGACTCCAAGATCTTTTTCACACGTACTGCTCTCGAGCCAGGCGTCACCCATTCTGTATCTTTGCATTTCATTTTTTCTGCCAAAGTGGGGTATCTTGCATTTGTCACTGTTGAACTTCATTTTGTTAGTTTTGGCCCATCTCTCTAATCTGTCAAGATCGTTTTGAATTCTGCTCCTGTCCTCTGGACTATTGGCTATCCCTCCCAATTTGGTGTCGTCTGCAAACTTGATGATCCTGCCTTCTAGCCCTTCATCTAAGTCATTAATAAAGATGTTGAACAGGACCGGGCCCAGGACGGAAACCTGCGGCACTCCACTTGTCACTTCTTTCCAAGATGAAGAGGAAGCATTAGTGAGCACTCTCTGTGTTCGTCCACTTAACCAATTACAGATCCACCTCACCGTAGTTTTGCCTAGCCCACATTGGACTAGTTTCCTTGCCAGAAGGTCATGGGGGACCTTGTCGAAGGCCTTACTAAAATCCAGGTACGCTACATCCACGGCATTCCCCGCATCTACCCAGCTTGTAGCTCTATCGAAGAAAGAGATCAGATTAGTCTGGCATGACTTGTTTTTGATAAATCCATGTTGACTATTAGCGATGACCGCATTTGTTTCTAAGTGTTTGCAGACCGCTTCCTTAACAATCTTTTCCAGAATCTTGCCTCGTATCGACGTGAGGCTGACCGGACGGTAGTTGTTTGGGTCATCCTTTTTTCCCTTCTTGAAGATTGGGACCACATTGGCCCTCCTCCAATCTGCTGGAACTTCTCCCGTTCTCCAAGAACTCTCAAAGATGGTTGCCAATGGTTCCGAAATGACTTCCGCTAGTTCCTTCAATACTCTGGGGTGTAGTTGATCTGGCCCTGGGGACTTGAACTCATTAAGAGTGGCCAGGTATTCCTGGACGACTTCTTTCCCAATTTGGGGTTGGATGTCCTCCAATCCCTCATCCACTCCATCTTGCTGAGGTTGAAGACTCTCTTTTTGTGAGAAGACCGAGGCAAAGAAGGCATTAAGTAGTTCTGCCTTTTCCCTATCCCTGTCAGCATTGCCCCATCTTCTCCTCGAAGAGGTCCTATCGCCTCCTTGTTTTTCCTTTTTCTACTGACATAAGAATAGAAGCCCTTTTTATTGTTTTTAATGTCCCTGGCAAGTCTGAGCTCGTTTTTTGCTTTAGCCTTGCGGACTTTTTCCCTACAGGTGTTGGCTATTTGTTTGAATTCTTCTTTGGTGATTTCTCCCTTTTTCCACTTCTTGTGCATGTCTCTTTTGTGTCTTAGCACAGTTAGAAGTTCTTTGGACATCCATTCTGGCTTCTTTGCACTTGTCCTATTTTCTCTCTTTGTTGGCACGGTTTGCAATTGCGCCTTGAGTATTTCACTCTTGAGAAATTCCCATCCATCCGTAACTCCCTTGTCTTTTAGTATCTGTGTCCACGGAATGCTGCTCAGCGTTTCCTTCATTTTTTGGAAATCAGCTCTCCTAAAGTCCAAAATGCGGGTTTGACTTGTCTTAGTTTCGGCCTTCCTTTGTACCTCAAATTGCAGGAGCACATGGTCACTTGCCCCTAAGGATCCTACCACTTCGACCACATCGATCAGGTCCTCCGCATTTGTTAGGATGAGATCAAGAGTAGCCAATCCCCTTGTTGCCTCTTCTACCTTCTGGACCATGAAATTGTCTGCAAGGCAAGCGAGGAATTTGTTGGACCTTGTACTCTTGGCCGAGTTTGTTTTCCAGCAAATATCGGGATAGTTGAAATCGCCCATGACTACTACATCTCTTCTCTGTGCCTGTTTGGTCAACTGTTGGCAGAAAACTTCATCAAGTTCTTCCTCCTGGCTTGGGGGTCTGTAGTAGACGCCTACAACGACATCTTTTTGAGTCCCAGTTCCCTTGATTCTTATCCAGATGATTTCAAGCCGGTTTCCCAGATTGCTGTCTTGAATCTCTTCTGCAGCATAAGAGTTTTTGACATATAAGGCTACTCCGCCTCCTCTCCCCTTTGTTCGGTTTCTGTGAAAGAGGTTATACCCCTCGATATCTACGTTCCAGCGATAGGAGTCATCCCACCAGGTTTCAGTGATCCCTATGATATCATATTTGTGGTGTTGTGCTAAAAGTTGGAGTTCGTCTTGCTTATTTCCCATGCTCTGTGCATTAGTGTAAAGACATGTGAGCCCCTGGGATCTTCCCTTGAGCTGTTTAATTGGGATTATTGTGCTTTTGGTACTTGGTCCTTGTTGTGTTTGTGCAGCCCTCCGTTTAGCCTTCTGGCGATTCCCAGACATTATGGGTAAGTAGTGTTCGCAAGGCTGTTGTCCCCCTCCCCCGGTGGACCTAGTTTAAAGTGCGTCTAATGAGGTTTGCGAGTCTGTGAGCAAAAAGGTGTTTTCCTACTTGTGTGAGATGCACCCCATCCCTTGCCAGTAGGCCATCCTCCTGGAAAAGCAGGCCATGGTCGAGGAAGCCAAAGCGTTCCTCCTGACACCATTTTCTAAGCCAGTCATTGACCTGTACTATTTTTCTGGCTCTTGTGGGTCCGTGTCTTACAACAGGGAGGAGGGATGAAAAGACCACCTGTACATTACATTCTTTTAGCTTTGCTCCTAGAGCTCAAAAATCATTTGTGATCTTTTGAAACATATGCCTTGCAGTATCATTGGTTCCTACGTGAATCAACATGAGGGGAGGACGGTGATAGGGCTTGAGGAGCCTGGTGAGCCTCTGAGTGATATGGTGTATTTTTGCCCCCGGTAGGCAGCATATTTCTCGAGCCATCCCATCTGGTCTGGAAATGACAGCTTCCGTTCCTCTAAGGAGGGAGTCGCCTACTACCAAGACCTGTTTACTTTCGGGAATGACAGGGCCCCTTTTGTGCAATGTAGTGTGTAGGTCTCCAGAAAAGTGATCCTGTTGGTGTGAATTGTGTAGGTGAAAAGTGTTGTCCTCCTCCTCGACATCCCCGGTGCATTCGTCAAGGACAATCCATTGAGATTCGTCCAAGAGCCTATGGTTCTCCTGTATGTGTTCCTGTTGCTCCTGGTCTATGGTTGGGGATGGTACACCTGCACGATTGTGCAAGTGTGAATGTTGTGAAGTGTTGTCCCAGTCAGGGCTATCCCCTGCACACTGATCAAGGATGAGCCACTGATCAGTATCTAAGCCATTCTGGTCTTCCCCAATATGTTGTGTTTCTTGGTCAGGTGGTAGTTGTGTGAGAATTTGGAATCTATTGTGTAACTGCAGCTGAGCGGAAGTATTCTGAGGAGGCTTCCGGGTCCTATGTGTCCTTCTAAGGGTGACATTTCTCCAAGCCTGAGGGTTGTCCACATCTGAGGTGCTGTTCTGTTGAGCCTCCCCGTAATGTTGGTGTGATATGGGCTGCGTGTCTAGGACAGTGTGGTGTGTGGTGTCTAAGAACAGCTCAAGTTCCTGAATGTCCTTAAGGGTCTTAATACGGTCCTCGAGTTGTCGGATCCTGTGTTCCATGCGAGTGATCTGTTTACACTTGGGGCAGATGTAATTGAGTAATTGTAGTGTGAAAAAGCTGAACATGCCACAGCTTGTGCATGAGACGGGAAGTTTTCGTGTTTGTTCCATCTGGAGGTTGCTAATGACCTCCTCTTGGTGTGTGTTTGATGTTGTTGTCTGTATGTAGGGGTGAAAGTATAGGTTACTGAGTGTACTGGTTTATATAGGATAACCAGGAAGCCCCGCCTCTCAAACAAAGCAGTTAATTTTTAAACTCAGGAAGCCCCTCCTCTCAAACAAAGCAGTTAATTTTTAAACTCAGGAAGCCCCTCCTCTCAAACAAAGCAGTTAATTTTTAAACTCAGGAAGCCCCTCCTCTCAAACAAAGCAGTTAATTTTAAACTCAGGAAGCCCCTCCTCTCAAACAAAGCAGTTAATTTTAAACTCAGGAAGCCCCGCCTCTCAAACAAAGCAGTGCTGAAAGCAGTTAAATTTAAACAAAGCTTACCCTGAAGCAGAAGGAAACAAAATGGGTTCCTGCTTCCTCAACTTCTGTGGAAAGCCCAGCTGCCCCTTGGGTTCAGACACTGGTTTATATAGGATAACCAGGAAGCCCTGCCTCTCAAACAAAGCAGTTAATTTTTAAACTCAGGAAGCCCCGCCTCTCAAACAAAGCAGTTAATTTTTAAACTCAGGAAGCCCCTCCTCTCAAACAAAGCAGTTAATTTTAACTCAGGAAGCCCCTCCTCTCAAACAAAGCAGTTAATTTTAAACTCAGGAAGCCCCTCCTCTCAAACAAAGCAGTTAATTTTAAACTCAGGAAGCCCCTCCTCTCAAACAAAGCAGTTAATTTTAAACTCAGGAAGCCCCTCCTCTCAAACAAAGCAGTTAATTTTAAACTCAGGAAGCCCCTCCTCTCAAACAAAGCAGTTAATTTTAAACTCAGGAAGCCCCTCCTCTCAAACAAAGCAGTTAATTTTTAAACTCAGGAAGCCCCTCCTCTCAAACAAGCAGTTAATTTTAAACTCAGGAAGCCCCTCCTCTCAAACAAAGCAGTTAATTTTAAACTCAGGAAGCCCCTCCTCTCAAACAAAGCAGTTAATTTTTAAACTCAGGAAGCCCCTCCTCTCAAACAAAGCAGTTAATTTTAAACTCAGGAAGCCCCGCCTCTCAAACAAAGCAGTTAAATTTTAAACTCAGGAAGCCCCGCCTCTCAAAAAAAGCAGCGCTGAAAGCAGTTAAATTTAAACAAAGCTTATCCTGAAGCAGAAGGAAACAAAATGGGTTCCTGCTTCCTCAACTTCTGTGGAAAGCCCAGCTGCCCCTTGGGTTCAGACACTGGTTTATATAGGATAACCAGGAAGCCCCGCCTCTCAAACAAAGCAGTTAATTTTTAAACTCAGGAAGCCCCGCCTCTCAAACAAAGCAGTTAATTTTTAAACTCAGGAAGCCCCTCCTCTCAAACAAAGCAGTTAATTTTAAACTCAGGAAGCCCCTCCTCTCAAAAAGCAGTTAATTTTTAAACTCAGGAAGCCCCCCCTCTCAAACAAAGCAGTTAATTTTTAAACTCAGGAAGCCCCTCCTCTCAAACAAAGCAGTTAATTTTTAAACTCAGGAAGCCCCTCCTCTCAAACAAAGCAGTTAATTTTAAACTCAGGAAGCCCCTCCTCTCAAACAAAGCAGTTAATTTTTAAACTCAGGAAGCCCCGCCTCTCAAACAAAGCAGTGCTGAAAGCAGTTAAATTTAAACAAAGCTTACCCTGAAGCAGAAGGAAACAAAATGGGTTCCTGCTTCCTCAACTTCTGTGGAAAGCCCAGCTGCCCCTTGGGTTCAGACACTGGTTTATATAGGATAACCAGGAAGCCCCGCCTCTCAAACAAAGCAGTTAATTTTTAAACTCAGGAAGCCCCGCCTCTCAAACAAAGCAGTTAATTTTTAAACTCAGGAAGCCCCTCCTCTCAAACAAAGCAGTTAATTTTAAACTCAGGAAGCCCCTCCTCTCAAACAAAGCAGTTAATTTTTAAACTCAGGAAGCCCCGCCTCTCAAACAAAGCAGTGCTGAAAGCAGTTAAATTTAAACAAAGCTTACCCTGAAGCAGAAGGAAACAAAATGGGTTCCTGCTTCCTCAACTTCTGTGGAAAGCCCAGCTGCCCCTTGGGTTCAGACACTGGTTTATATAGGATAACCAGGAAGCCCCGCCTCTCAAACAAAGCAGTTAATTTTTAAACTCAGGAAGCCCCTCCTCTCAAACAAAGCAGTTAATTTTTAAACTCAGGAAGCCCCTCCTCTCAAACAAAGCAGTTAATTTTTAAACTCAGGAAGCCCCTCCTCTCAAAAAAAGCAGTGCTGAAAGCAGTTAAATTTAAACAAAGCTTACCCTGAAGCAGAAGGAAACAAAATGGGTTCCTGCTTCCTCAACTTCTGTGGAAAGCCCAGCTCCAAGAACATTCCCGGTGGAAGTACCACGTTTATCTAAGTCATTGTCAAGAGGAAAAATGATGGCTTCAACATTGTTGAACAAAGATATACCCAAGTCATTGTAAAGAACCAAAATGATGGCTAGATCAGGCTATGGGAAGAAGCAACTACAACTCACGATAATCCTCTGACAAAATGTGCTGATTCCCTTCCCCAGTTGAACTGAAGATTCTTTGACTTTTTGATTCTATGCAAATGTAAGAAAATTGCATCTGTTCAAAACTTAATGCTATGTATCTTAATGTCACTTGAAACTACAGTATGACCCCTGTATTCCTAAACTTACTGTCCAAACATGAAACCAAGGATAATAGTAAATCCTATAAAAAATAATGGCTTCTGTCAGAAGTTACAAAAGTCACCCTGGGACACCTAGCAAATTCTTAGAGAGACATCCAGTGCAACTCTACGATAACTTCTGGCAGAAGCATGCCATAGAATCACTTAGAGAACAGCTGCTTAAAGTATGGGTTGGGATCCCAGATGTGGTTGCCATAACTATATGTTAGGGTCACCTTCCTTTCGTTCATGTGCCTCTCTCTTCTTTCCCTTCTTTCTTGTACATCTCTTTGCCTTCCTCCCTCACTTCACACATGTCTCTCTCTACCCTTCCCCTCACCCTCTGTGCTTTATACTTTGGGTCACGTGAACATTTCTAAGGTAAAAGGGAGTTGCGAGTCGAAAAAGCCTTAAAAGCTCTGACTTAGAGGACCTACAGAATTCATAAAGGACATATTTTGGGAGATGCGGGTTGGTAAAACTGCAGGTACTGGTCCTGTGTGTATTGGGTTGCACTGAATTCCTTTATATGTATTTCTGTGCTGTAAGCATGCACATTGGTTTTAAAGCAAAATTTGGGGACTGTTAAGTTTCACAGTTAACATACAGCACTGCACTGTGGCTTTTTAAATAATAGTGACCTGCACATTTATGAGAAGGCTGAATTGCCCAACCATTGAGGTGTGTGTGTATGACTAATGCAAAGCAGCAGGTTCATGTTCTTTCATTGTCTCTCCTTCCCACTGACTTCTGAGAATACCCATCAGGAGATGAAAGGTCGTGTTCCAAGTTTCCTCACCTGTTCATTATTTTGTTGGCTTATATTTGTGGGGGAGAGGGGATCTGAATGGAGTGCAGTGAATCAAATATTGTTGAGGGAGAGAAGAGGTGTGAGGCTCCAAGTTACAGTTGCCGCTGTATTTGTTCTCTAAATTCTGGCCTCGGGCTTCATGTTAACACACACTGACAACACCAATTTCCATAATTACCATATGCTTTCAGTAGAAAGCTGCTACTCTAATTTTAGTGCCAATCCCACCAACAAAAATAAGATGCACTTGTGATTCTAAGATGCTCCCCATTTTAAGAGATGTTTGTCTAAGAAAAAGTGTGTCCTAGAACTGAGGAAATACAATACTTTTTGGTCTGTCTTTTCATCTCCTTTACTGTAGTTCGATGTGGTCTTCTTTTCACCATACATGTGGTAATTTATTTAACAGGACGTTGACATTGACAATATCCACCAGATAGTTGTGGGTGCAACTGAAAACATCAAAGAAGGCAATGAAGACATAAGAGAGGTAATCTCTTGAACGCATTTCTTGATTTTTATCCAATGCTTCCTGACTAAAATATGATGTGCTTCACTTTATTTACCTTCCTCCAATGTATTTTGAGAAACATTATTGGTTCCATTTTCAACAAAAAGCATGGTCACTGAATATAGCATCAAATGTCAGCTGATGGTGTGGAGGCTGTTACGCCAATAAATAATGCCTGTATTTTAAAAACAAATAAAGCAAAAGAAAGCAAATGAGCAAACAGTATGATGGCAACCTCTTGAAAACACTACTCATAAGGTCAGAGGAAATTGCTGAGTAGGAGTATGATGAGGTCAGGATCAAGACCAAGAGGCAGTGGTTAGTAATTGAGGCAAATAATGTTTAAATGTAAAGCTATAACAATGCTTGCAATCTGTGCAGCAAAACTAATGGTGCATTCTCTGGGGTGAAGTTGCTAAAAGCATCTTGTTCAGAGGAAGAACCTTTTTCTAAGATACAGTTGTGAATTTTTTCCTGCAGTGCTTTTGCTAAACTAGAGGGAAAACAAAAACAAATAAGCCAAAAAAAAAAAAGATGGGGAAAAAGAGGAGGTGGAGCATAGTGCTGTGTTCCCGTAATGCTGTGAACTGGATTTTGCTAATACAGATACATTCCCACCTTTAAAAATAAAACAGCGCAGTCTGATGACCACTTAAACACTTTCCCATGCTGTAACAACTTGAGTGGGGAAAACTGACTGCTGTTCTATGGCGACTGAGACCTTTATGTCATTGTATCCCAAAAAGCTTGGTGGAAATGCAGAGTATTGACAGAGTACTATCCCAAATCAATTGCAGCTCGTGGTTATGCTTAAGAGAATTACTTTTAAGAATGAATGTAGTTATTTATTATTCATTGTGTCAGAAGGGAACCAAAGGTACAGTTGTATTTGAAAACACAAACAAAGTTTAAAGACTTGGCATTATATTAATGTCCTTTGACCAGTAGCTGGCCACATGGAGCGCCTCTGGTGTTCCTATAAGAAGGTCCTCCATTGCGTAGCATGAATGTAGTTGCATTCTGAAGACACCCATAACTTATCATTGTCCACTGATAGGTATTGGGATCATCATGAAAGTCCCCCAATTCATACCATTTTCACACATCTGCCTGGATGATTTTTACTTTTTCTCCACTTCTCAACATGGGAAAGAATTTTCACATTTTTTCCAAGGCCATCAGGCCACAGCTCCGCTACATTCACCAAATTTCCCTTGACCTTATGAGTAGTGTTTTCAAGAGGTTGCCATGAGGCAAGTGCTGAAAAGTTCACTATCACTAGTCCCATCACACTGGAAAATTTGGATACAACTAATGTATAGTGATGTTATAGACACTAGCCACTCTCCTCACCTGATTTTTCCTAGTTCAAAATGATATGCCGAAAGAATACAGAAGGGAGTGAAGGGCTGTTTAAAAGGTGTCAGAAGCTGGCCTCAGATACAGAGCCGTGTATGTGACACACAGATACTATAGAGAAGACAAGCACTCTGTTGTGTCTGTGGGTCCCAACCCCTTAGATCAGTGGTTCTCAACCTGTGGGTCCCCAGATGTTTTGGCCTTCAACTCCCAGAAATCCTAACAGCTGGTGAACTGGCTGGGATTTCTGGGAGTTGTAGGCCAAAACATCTGGGGACCCACAAGTTGAGAACTACTGCCTTAGATCAATGTTGGGGTCCTGAAAGATTTGGCAATAGTAGGTTTCTGAAAGTCACCTAATGGCCATTTTAGACATTTCTATGAATCTGTTGTGCAGTGTTTACCGTTTACTCTGCAGAAGACGCTTCAGCTATACTTCATAAGAGACTTGCAAATGCTGATTTGCTGTCAGTAAATGTTTGATTTTGTATATCTGTTTCATATACCTATATACCCGGGGTCACATCAAAATTTCTCCAAGCAGAAGGGGTCACAAGAGAAAGAGTTTAAGAAGTCCTGTTCTATTGTATTACAGAGGTCACAGAGACTTTGCAAAGTTGTCAAATTTTGAGATAAGCTACTCAGATTTAATTCCAATATCTTCTATTATTAAAAGTACTACTTTAATGTGTAACAAGAGGTTAGTGGATCTAACTTTAACCATCTTTTCCCCATAAAGATTGGGTCTGACTGAAAGCCTTTTCCTGAATGAGGTATTGCAGCCCATTCCCTTTGAAAGAATGCAGTAATAAGACAGTTGTTTTCCTCCATCCTACAGGCAATCAAGAATAATGCTGGATTTCGTGTATGGATCCTCTTCTTTCTTGTGATGTGTTCCTTTTCTTTATTATTTTTGGACTGGTATGGGAGCTAACCTTGGCATTTGGATAACCCTGAGTCAAGACTGACAAACCAAACTTTGACCGAAGATGTCTTCTTTGCAAAGCCTTGTTGCATTTCATATATCACCGTGATGGAATTAACTTCATTCTCGAGGCAAATATTCAGGCCACGCTAACACTACTCAGGAATATGGCAGAAGAAGAAAAATCTCGAGGCTACTAGCAGATCGAAAAAAGTATAATGCCAATCTTTGTAAAAAGAAGTGATGGTCCCGATTTGGCTAGATATGTCGAAGTATCTACAATGGAAGCCATTGTACTGCATGAACATAAGTGGCTTTCCAAACATCTGTCCAACATTTATTTTAAATTTATAGACTCTCACTAAATAAAACTAATTTTCTACATAGTGTTGCTTATAAACTAATTTTCTACATAGTGTTACTGAAGCATTTATTCAGTAACCATGTCAGTGGATCCCACTGTAATTCAGAGCAAGACTATGACTCATGTTTAGTGGACATTACACAACCTCTACTTGCTATGGTTTTAAATTGGTTTCAAGTACAACATATCACTTTTATTCCTATGTGACATGATGATAGATAGCATATTTAGGTTCCAGAATTTTGAGGGGAAAAACAGCATTTAGTTACAACCCTTAAATGGGTGGCCTAAATTGACATACTGCAAAGTACTTGGAGACTATGCTTGCTCTGTATTGTAAAGATCTGGATTGGTCACAGCTGCCATTTCAAATTGCAATAAAGTATTTTTCTGCCCTTTTGTTAAAAATCCAACAGCATAAAAAGCAAGAAATCCAAACTCCTGAATTGCCATGCAGCAGAGTCATACTCAGTTATGTCTTCGGAAAGAGGATGGGACATACTTGCAAGTGAAATAATCCGAAGCCTTCATGCTCAATTTCTGTTAAATCCTGAAGGTGTGCATGTAAACATACTGAGTTTGAGAGATGTGATCATATTTCTTTTATTTTACATAGAGTGAAAATGTCAAAAGTTACATGTAAATTTACATTCAATAAAGTACTGATTACTAGGAAATACAAACATGGCAAAGTTGAATATGTTTATATGGGATCGATTTTTTTTAAATGCAAAGAAAGATTTGGCACATACTTTATTGCTTTTATGCATTCCACACAGCAATGATGATCTTCTAAAAAAGTAATTGTACAACACATAACTATGTTCAGTATTAAAAACTTCTAAATGGAAAAGTAGTTGGCATTTTCTAAGTGAACTTTGACGCTTTTAAATATATTGGAAAGAAGTATCACACAGAGCCGACCATGTTTGTTTTACTAAAAATGCAGAAGGGAAAGAGACATCCCTGTTTTTGTGAAATGTGTTTCTACAAAAACAATGAAACTTTTGACATGTCCACCAGGAAGTAGCACATTTAGAATATGAGCACAAATGCCAGCTATAATTAGCTGAACAATACAGTTAAGTGACACTGGTCAAGTCAACAGTCTGCAAGAATGCCATTCCAGTATAGTGTTTTCCAGGCTGGCAGCACTTGACACCCAATGAAGTGCCACTGGTTGGAAAACATGGCTCTGGTGTTGACACTACAGTACACAGCGCAGCAATGGAAAACTGGGTGAAAATCTAAACCCAATGCCGGATACACCATTATTCTGTTTTTCGTTCCTGCTGCTTGCAATTTAGGTTGACCACTGATGCCTAATATAAAACTATGAAGCTAATCATAGACTCATAAAGTTGGAAGAGACCACAGAGGCCATCCAGTCTAACCCCTGCCATGCAGGAACATACCAAAATGTATTTTGAAATAGTTTGAAATAATAAACACATAATGATTTAGGGATGTGTCAACACAATAAAAGCTCAACTACAGTTTTAACCCTCGTTACTTCATTTACCTCAAAAAGATAGCCTCCAACACAGTCAAAATGCAAGGGGGGCAGGAAGAGTTAATGCGTTCGATGCAGTTTATTCCTTGCAACCAGTTCTTATAAATGTTTATGCGAAAGTCCCACTGAGTTCAATGAAACTGGCTTCCCAATAAGTATGCTTCAGATTGCAGCCTTGCTATTTTAACATTAGAAAATGCCAAAGGATGGTACTAACAAAACAAAACAAGATTTTGCAACATGGAGAAAAAAGGAAACCTTTTTAATGTTTTACAAAAGGAGAAAAATCTAACAAAATGACTCCTTCCATCATCACACGAATTACACCGTGGTTACGTCTACAGTGAAAGGTTTTCTGTCTGTTTATTCCATAGGGCTGCAGTACTTTCTCAGGATCCTTGCTGCTTTACAGTCTCGCACATTTGTTTACTAGAACGTTATTATCAGTCATTAAATTATACAGCTCCCTAGTGTCTATTTTGTGTTTTAGTGCAAGTCCATATACAAGACTCCTTAGACATAGTGGAAACGCAGTGAAATGTCCACAGGTATAACAAATCAACCATCAAGCATGCCTTTAAAAAAATTCCTAATTACCTCTAACATATCTGATATGGTGAGCAAAAACAGGCCAACCTTTTTATTTATACTTATTTTGCAGTTGCAAGCCATTTTTAGATACAGCTCATAGCTAGCCAATACCATATCGAGTTATGGCTGTGATTATTTAGTTTACAAAACAGATTCTAAAACAAACAAAACACTAGTACACACTGTAAAATGCAAACCTTTGCCTTGTCACCCCCCCTCCCCCGAATGGCTCAATGAAATCTCTAGATTGCAACAATGCACCTAAATTGGTTTTATTAAAAGAGAAACTGGTGTTAAAGCTGTAAAGCAAGGCTGATATGCACTTGACCATTAATGGTCATAGATTTTCATTTTCTTATTTTTCTTTTTTTTTTCTTTGCAAAGCAGTAATCAGCAAACTGAAGCAATTACACCATAAATATAGGTTTAACCTCTAAATTATCATTAATAATGAGACATCCCATGAAAGACCCCTTGATGCCGCCTTCCAATCAACAAGATTACATTCTTCTAGGCTGACTTCTCAGCTGCTTCCGTCTCCTGCTCCGAAAGTTTCTCTTCTGACAGCACTGTCATCCATGGGGAAACAGACCTTGTGATGGTTTGTTTGGCCAGGTTGTAGTGGTTTATGACCGTATAAAACTTCCCTCTGGCGTTAGAGTCTTGTTCAGAGTAGTAGTTCTCTAATCCAGCCGGGATGCATTGATTGTTCTGAAAGGTAACCCATCATTTAAGTACTTATAACACATCATATTACAAGAATGAGACAGCAACGCTACATAACAGAAATTAAACAAATTATGTAAAAGCAAAGCATTAAAAAAAGCTCAAAGCCTTCCTTTTTAAGATAGATGTGGGAATTGTGTCTCCCTCCAGATGTTGCTGAGCTACAAATGCAAAAAGCTGTTAGTGGCTGCAGCCCAGTTTTGGGTTATAGGATTTCCTCAAGTTCAAGATAAAGCAAAGCAAAGTCTTTCTGTATATATTTCAGATTTCAATATTAATGTCAAACATACGTAGTATGATTTTGCATAGGATTTGTGCTACATTAGAACAGTAAAGACAAATATCACTTAAGTGAAATAAACATTAAATATTAAATAACCAGAAAAATAAAATAAGGTGTAAACACTAAACTAATCTGGGAATCTGCTATTGCAACACATCCAATGAAGTGGTTTAAAACCAGTATAAAAAAGATTAGTGTTCTGGTATGACTGTACCAGAAACTCAAATTTTATTTGCTTTGTATTAAATGTTTCCTTGCAGTCCTAGGTTTCAGGGACTCTGCAGATAGGTGGCTTCTTTGGTTGCAGTCATAGGGCAAGTCACCTGTCCATCATTAAGTTTTGGTCCCGCCCCTTGCTCAGGGCAATTGGGAAGGGAAGGGAGCCATTTTTAGTTAGTCTCAGCAAGGAAAGCTAATGTACAGGACGTGTGCAAGCTTCCCCTGTACAAAAGCTTCAACCCTTAAGACTTTCCGGGGGAGAACAGTCTTAAGAGTCTCCAAAGATTTCCAGGGAAACAGCCCTAAAGACCAAAGAACTCCAGCTGGAGAACATCTAAGCCTTTACTGGTAGGTCCACTCGGCGTTCGAGAAGCAGTTCGACCCGGTAGCGGAGCCCACATCAGTAAGGGTTAGATTACAGTCAGCCTGGGAGAAGTTAAAAAGGGGACTTTCCTTTAAAATAAAGAAGGAGTTATTGAAGACAGTTGCCTGTCCTTCGTGGGCAAGTTTAGGAAGCTACCAGTTGCATAAAAGCCTGGAATCATTTGTTTATCTTTACTGAAGACAAGAAGTTTCTGTTTGATTGTTCATTAATAAAAGACTTTGTTATACTTCACAAGCCATCTAAAGACTATTTGTGGTGGAAAACCTCTGAGAACTTCTCTTTGGGCCCCCTGGCTTCCCGCTAGGCAAAGGTTGCACATCCTGCTCTAAAGGAAATCCTTTACAGGCCCAGTGTGCGACAACTATTAGGACTAAGTATATTCTAGTCTACTTGGAATATACGAAGCTCATTCAAGAAGCATGTTTAAGAACTGGTCCAAGAGTCCAGAAGAACCTTGCATTTTCACTCATACCAACATGCATGTAAAACTTTCGTTATCATACAAGCAATAAAATAAGTTCTACAAATTATGGGCACTTCTTCTAAAAGGTTGAGAAACTGAGGCCACACAGGGAATATTACCCATAGAGCGGCATACTGGCCCTAGGGTTTCCTTCTTCCTGCTTTCATTTGAGGCAAAGATACATTAGTAGTGACAGGCTGTATCACAGGAAGTGTGGGTATTTGGCCAAGTGTGAGGAAAATCAATATAAGAGAAACAGCCCTGTTTCATGCATACATAGGAATAGGACTGGATTTTGCAACAAATTGGCCGAGTTTAAATTAATTTATTAAATGAGATCTTTTTGCAGGTTCAGCATTTCTTATTCCAACATCTAAAGTACTCCAAAATCCAAAAATCTCCACATGGGTGGTTCAGATAGTATTGTGTTTGCTTTCTGATGGTTCCATGTACACAAACTTGGTTTCATGCACACACACAAAATACCATACAACCTTTAGGTTATATGTAGAGTGTAGAAGAAGCATAAATTAATTTCGTGTTTGAACTTGGGTCCCATCTCCAAGATATTTTATATGTATTGTATGAAAATGTAGGTTGTCCAAAATCCAAAGTCTATATTTCTGATCCAAGCATTTAAGTTACAGGATACTTATCCATAATCAGACCTAAAAGCCTCATATTTTGGTACAGTACTGGGTTTTATTTTTGTTTGAAGATGCTAATTTTATTATCTTTGCAAGGTTAGCTTTTAGCAGCCAGTAGATAGATCATAAATATCAATTACCTTTCCCTTAATACAATTTATTGCAATTACTTTGATCAGTTGTAACCCAGAATAA